CTTGGAAGGCTGAGGCGGAAGGATCGCCGGAGCCCAGCAGGTCGAGGCTGCGGTGGCCACGGCACTCCAGTCTTGGAGACAGAGTGAGACTCCAACTCAAAAAAAAAAAAGAGAGAGAGGGACATTCCCAGGCTAAGGCAGGAGGATGGCCTGAGTCTAGGAAGTCAAGGCTTCCGTGAGCTGTGAGCCAAGCCACTGCACTCCAGCACCAGTCTGGGCCACAGAGTGAAACTCCAACTTAAAAATCAATCATACTGCTTCTTGTGGCAGAATGAAATTGATATTTAATATCAATGCTTTGGTTCTAGTATATTTCGCCCCCTCCCTGAAACTTTTTATATAAAAAAAAAAAAAAAAAAAAAGGCCAAGCTTATGGGAGAAGAGAAAAGAAACACAATGCTCAGCCAGGCCCTTCACCGAGATTCTCCTGGAGTGAACACTGGGAAAAGCTGGCCTCCTTTCTGATCGTTCGTTGTCGGGATTCTCTCTGTGTGTTCAGAGAGGGTTATGCTTAATTGTGCTAACAAAGGGAATAATAAGCCCCAAGTTATTTCCAAAAGAAATAATTTGGAACTTAGTTGATTGATTTTAAGTTGGAGTCTTACTCTGTAGCCCAGACTGGGGTTGGAGTATAATGGCACGGCTCACCACAGCCTTGACCATGTGGGTTCAAACAATCCTCCCACCTCAGCCGCCCTAGCAGCTGGTCTCTCTTAAGCATTTGATGTCCTGTGATGACAACCCCTGCCACGGGAGGTGTTTGACACCACCACAGGCAATACATCTGGCTAATTTTTTTTTTTGGTAGACACGGGGGTCTTGCTGTGTTGCCCAGGATGGTCTTGAACTCCTGGGCTCAAGCAGTCCTCCCACCTCAGCCTCCCAAAGTGCTGGGATGCCAGGCATGAGCCACCGTGCCCAGCTGAATTGATTTTTCTTTTTTTGAGTCTGCATCTCACTCACGCCAAGGCTAGAGTGCAGTGGCACACTCACGACCACCCCAGCATCGACCTGCTGGGCTCAGGCGATCCTTCCACCTCAGCCTTCTGAGCAGCTGGAACTTCAGGCACGCGCTACCATACCTGGCTAATTTTTTGTTTATTGTAGAGACAAAATCTCACCAAGTTACCCAGGCCGGTCTCGAACCCGTGGGTGCAGACAATCCACTCACCTCGGCCTCCCAAAGTGCTGGGATTATAAGCTGAGCCACCGAGCCCAGCCTGAATTGATTTTTAAAAAAACCAAACATAGCCTGACATCCCCACCCAAGTGTGCTTGTGAGTGTCGCTGTGAAACTGTTTGATACTCGTGCTATAGACTAATTATTTTTGTTTGTTACAGCAGTTTTCTTAAACAGCAAAGATTGAGAGAACCGTCATACAAGACTTTCATTTTCATTTGCTTGAATAGCTATAGCAGCTGTACGATTAAATACACTTACTTACTGAGTTTCATATTTGGTAACACCTCAAGGTAATCTTATCCCAGACATTTTTATGCATCCAAGACACAGCCAGGAAGCAGGAGTTCTGCACAAAGTAGATTTGGTGAAGGCCAGTCTCCAGAGTTCAAGGGCCATGTCCGCAGAAAAACCCTGAGGACTTCTCCAAAGATCTCTCTCCTCTGATTTTGTGCAGGGCTTCCTAAGCCTCCTGATCCAGAATAGGAAGGGCAGATGGACCTGCTCAGAGTAAGGTCAGCACAGCACCAGGAGTCTAACAGCAAGCTCTGTCTGCTGCTGCACTTTGTCTTGTATCTGTTAAGTGTCCACCACAGTGGCACAGTCATAGCCACTGGGGGTGTGGCAGTGGCCAGGCCCTGGCTTGGGAAACTGACACTCCACTGGGACGCACAGACATTGAGCAAGTCATGGCACCATTCGTGACACCATTCATGATGATGGCAGGAAGTGCTTTCTACAGAGATAAAGTAAAAGAAGCCAGGTAAAGTGTCCCCAGATCACTTAGAAATATGTCATTAAGTAAGACGGATGCAGTGGCACACGCCTGTCATCTCAGCACTGAGGCGGAAAGATTACTTGAGCCCAGCAATCCAAGACCAGCCTAGACAACATAGCCAGACCTCATCTCTACAAAAAATTAGCCAGGCGTGGTGTTGCATGCCTGTAGTCCCACCTACTTGGGAGGCTGAGGCAGGAGGATCCCTTGAACCCAGGAGGTCAAGGCTGTGGTGAGCTGTGATCGTGCCACTGCACTCCAGCCTGGACCACAGAGCAAGATCCTTTCTCTTTCTAAAAAAAAAAAAGAAAGAAAGAATAATAAAGAAATGTATCATGAACTGGATGAGCTTACAGGAAATGGGGCTGGCGTGGTGCACTGGGACATCTCTTGGCCCCACCCAGAGCTTCAGCTCTCCTGTCCAAGGGCAAATGCTACATCTTCCATGGAACATTCCATGGCGCCCTCCCTCCGTCCCCTCCAACCATAAGGTGCCCTTCTCTCCTGCGAGGATTCGTCCCTCTGGAGCGCAGGTGCCTGTTCTGGGTGCCTGCTGTATACCGAGACAGTCAGGTATACAGCTGCCGCCCAGACATAGGATTGTGTAGACCACATAGGAGTCAGCATTATGGCTATTGCTTTGGGGTTGGCACTGCCCAGTACCCACAGGCACTGACTCCTGTCCTCAACCTGATGACAGGGAATGGCCATCATGACTGTTCCTGCTTTTCTGAGAAGGAAGCACTTAGTAGATCATGGCCCAGATGTAAAGTCAAGGAAACAAGGTGTGTCAAGTGCCACAGAGGCTGATTGGCATGTGGGGCCAGCAGGGACGTCATGGGGAGATGGTGTGGGAGGTGGGTTTGATGATACCTCCCAGACCTCAGGCGTGAGAGTCAGCCTTTGGTTCGGACTCCAGCTCCGCAGCTGATGAGTTGTGTGGCTTTTAGCAAATCACTGAGCTTCCTAAGCCCTTACTATGGAGGAAGGAGGCTGGAATCTGCTTTATGGAGTTCAACACAATCCTTGGGGCAGACTCAGCGGCGCTCCTGGCAGGTGGTGAGCTTGGGACAGCAGCTCGTTGTTTTCATCCTGTGACTGGCTTCCTTGTCAGCCTGTAGGTCTTCTTGGCTGTGTCTGTGTTGCTCCAACCCCGTGTCCCTCCCCCAGGACTCGCCCTGAGGCCAGCATTTCTAGGAGGCATTTGGTGAATGTGTGTCAGTGTTGTGGATGGGGAGGGGACACGTGTGTGAGCAGCTGTCAACGCGTGGCAGGTGTCTTTTTGCTGAACACTGGATTGAGGCTTCTGACAAAAGACACCTAGCATCACAGCCTCAGCAGGGAGCGGCCCTTCCCTCCCAAGCGCCCAGCTGACATCACCTGGCAGTGTCTGACTGTGGCATTGGCTGCCACATGGGCTGGGCACAGCCTGATCCTTAGGTTTTCATGGGGAGACTAAGTCTGTCCCTCTGTCACTCGGAAGAGCACTGTGTCAGTGTCTCGGCCACATGCACTGGGTGATACCACCAGTGACATTCTGAGCAGGCAGGACTGAGGGGCCAGGATGTGACACTTAGCTGCAGCCCACAACCTGTGAGTTTCAGGGCGCTGCTGTATGCCAGTGGGGGGCTGCGGGGTCCCATCTCTGGAGGTCTAACCATGTCCCCTCTCTGCTGCCCTCACCCTGCAGGAATGGCCTCACCAGCTGCCGGATGCGGACTGAGAGTGAGCCGCCACGTGGCTCCCCGGTGGTCAGTGGGGACCCCAAGGAGGACCACAACTACAGCAGTGCCAAGTCCTCCCACGCCCGGAGCAGCTCGCCCGCTGGCGACTCCGTCTCCTCCTCCTCCTCCTCCTCTGCCGACGACCACTATGAGTTTGCCACGAAGGGGAGCCAGGAGAGTGGCGAGGGGGGCCCCCAGAGCCAGAGCCACAGTGACGCAGAGGAGGAGGACCGGCGGCGCAGCCAGAAGGAGCCTAGGGACGCCCTGGGGGATAGCGGCTACGCGTCCCAGCACAAGAAGCGCCAGCATGTCGCCAAGGCTCGGAAGGTCCCCAGCGACTCTCTGCCCCTCAAAAAGAGGCGCACCGAGAAGCCCCCTGAGAGTGACGACGAGGAGATGAAAGAGGCAGCCGGGTCGCTCCTGCACTTGGCCGGGATCCGGTCCTGCTTGAACAATATCACCAATCGGACGGCAAAGGGGCAGAAGGAGCAAAAGGAGACCGCAAAAAACTGAAAACACGTCACCGATTGGTTTTGAACTTGCGGCCATCTGGTTTCAGCATGTCAGGAGATTTCTAATGATTTGTGGCAATATCAGCAATTTTCTTTTTTCTTTTTTCTTTTTTTTTGGTTTGGTTTTCTTTCTTTTCCTTTTATTTTTTATTTTTAGTTTTTATTTGTCCCCTCTCCTTTGTTTTGGACCCTTAAGAATTTTATTTTTAAAGGAGATTGAAGCCATAAAACTCATATTGACACTCAGCTGTTTTACAAAAGCTTTTCATTATCCGAAGACGAAACCAAGAAAAGCCAAAATTATCATTGCTTCCTGCCGCTTGTCAGAAACGTGTGGCTGAATCCACAGGGATGTCAAACGTCAATGCCACAGGAACACATACTCGGCACCCAGGAGGCACAAGCGCAGAGTGACCATCATGCGGGCCCACCCTTAGTTTTAAGGAGGCAGGGTGTCCATCCTGTTGGGGTCACAGTGAATCCAGACACCTAAAGTGAAGGGGGGGTGGAGGAAAGAGCCCTCGTCCCCCTGGGAGCAGACCCAAGCTTGTGGCAGCCTTGACGTTGTCATGTGGCCACACAGGGGATCGACTACCAGTCCTCTTGTTTCTTAACCCTGACACCTGGGGACATCTTACAAAATGGACATTCACTGGACCCGTTCATGGCCGTCAGGTGTCAGTGACTGCTGAGAAAAAAAATGGATAGATTCTTAGTGATATTGAGAGTCATTGAATTCTGTTCTACATTAAATTAGCAAAGTGTTCCAAAAGCCATAAGCCTGAAGGTTGGCCCTGTGCACACACCACACACACACACACACCCACACACCACACCACACCACACCACACCACACCACACATGCACACGAAGGAGAGTAAGAGAAAACCGATGCAGAAAGCAAGCTGTGTCTTCTTACCTGCCCAATGAAAAGCAAGCAAGTCCAGGAAGCTACAGTAGCTGTTCAGGAAGGAAAGAACAATGTATAGATCTTTTTTCTGTCTATCAAAACGATTTGACCCAAGTGAAAAAACAAACAGAAAGCTACAGAGCCTGCCATTAGTACTGTGGTGTATTTTTGAAAGATTCAAGGCATATTGATGGACAAAAGAAAAAAAGTAAAACACAGCAAAAAAGTAAAATGACGACTTCTGTACTGCCCTCCAAATGGAGTTTGCAATTAACGCTAGTCAGATTAACCTTCAAAAATCCGTGATACCCACACTCAGACAGCGTAGCCAGCAGAAATTTCCAATCCACAATGCATGGATTCCTTTGAAGAAAAAAAAAAAGGAAAAAGAAAAAAAATCACAAAAACAAACTTTTTTTATTCAAAAATAACAAAGTTCTTGTAAGGTAAATAATGTATTTAGCATGAAGCATGAATTATTTTCATATAAACATAGAGATTAGACAAGGCTTTGCCTCTGGTTTTAAGCCTTTAGGCTTAGAGAGGTTCTTTGGTTTTCTTCTTTTTCTTTTCTTTCTTTTTTTTTTGTGGTTTTTTTTTTTTGTTGTTTGTTTTTGGTTTTGGTTTTTTGTTTTTTTTGTTTTGGGGTTATTTTGTTCTGGTTTTTTGAAGCAGGTGTTTAAGGTTTAACCTTCTTCAGGGACAAATTCTGACTGTTGGGGAACTTTACTCTGCAATATAAAAATATCTTCGTGCTCTGTTAGGGCTTGGATGGTTGAACCCTACTGCCTGTGTGCACTTCAGCCCTGACCCCGACTCTCTGTTGAAAAGTGTGTCCTTTCTCTCTGTCTGTACGTGTTTAACACGACGCAATAATTTGAGGGCAAACTTGGTAGTGAGTGTGTATGATGGAATCAGAAGCAGTGTGGGACGCTTACTTGAGGAAATCATTGTCATGACTGGGTTCTAGGAAAAAGGCAGTGGATAATTATGCAAATTAGCCAGAAGAAGGGGAGCCTTGCTCATGGGCCTTACTGGGTGAGGGTACGAGATAGGGTCACACGTGAGGAGGAAGTGACCCCGAGGATGGAGGGGCCAGCCCCAGATGTCCGGCTGCAGCAACAACGCCATTTCACAGCAGGAAGGGAAGCCGGCCCTCACCACCACCTCGGCACACTAACCAGCATGGAACTAAGACCACCTAGATTGTGAGAGCTGAGTTTAGACCACCGGACAATGTCACACAGGCCAGAAACTCCTGTTACCTTTGCCTAAACAAAGACTTTTTTTTTGGAGATCCAAAGATAAATCTCTAAAAGAATATGATCTTCCATCCAGATGGAGGGAAACCTTAAAACACAAACAAAAACTCCCATTCCCGTAGCTCAGGATCTGATGGCGGGGAGAGGTAGGGAACTCAGGTGACCTTGAATTTTTACAAAGGGGCACTTGTGGGCCAGTGCCCAGCCCTTGTGCCAGGACCAGGCACCATGAGAGGCTCCATCAGCTGCGACATGGGAATGAACAGGTGCATGCCGTAGGCTCCACTCCCTGTGCGCGGCTAGTGAGAGAGCCTGGAAATCATCTACACCCATACAACAGGGCAAACGCATGACCCAAACCTGAATACTTCTAGCATGTTCTCTCAGGGTGTAGATGGGAATGAAGATGTATTTTGGCAACGCTCTGTTCCCTCTACCCCACCCCCCCAAGCATTTGATGCCCTGAAAGCCATCCTCAGGCACCTGAGCAACACCGTGGTTTTTGTTGTCACCTGACCCAGCCCAGAAGACCCCCACTTTCAGCACCCTCCAATGGTAGAATTCAGACTTCTCTCCTGAAAGGCAGAGGCAAACGTTCAGGGCTGTTTCTGGCGGAGGACTTCTTCCAAGTAAAACCCCACAGTGGGCTGTCTCTCCTCATTTCGTTTTTCTAAAGGGGCAAGGGCCCCTCTTAGAAAAGAAATCAGATGCAACGTGTGTGATTTACTTTTCTGATCTCTTGGAGAAATAGAGAAATATACAAGTGCGTTCTTAACTCCAGAACCACTGTTTTTTGCATAAATACCTCATCAGGCAGCTTTCTAAGTGTTATTTCCAGAGTCTCCCTGGGCCCCTTTGTGGAAGCTGCTGGAAGACTCTTGGGGGAACCTTTAGTGAGGGTACTTCTTTCTATTTTTCTTCTGTTTTTGGAGGCATACACATTATGCATAACCAAAACAATGGCTCAATTGTGTTTAACTTTGTATTTTCATTGTTGAGAAAAAAGAAAAAACAAAAAGCATCAGTGCGTATGTGACTGTCCATAGTGAACTCATTTCAGAATGCGGTGGTCGGTCTGCGCCCTTCGACCAAGGGGCAGGGCGCCCTCTCCTACCCCTCCTCCAAGAGCAGTAGCAAATTTAAGCACAAGCCTATTTGTGAAAGAATATTTTGCTTCAGTGTCATTGACTTTAGTCTTGGAATTCCTTCCCAAACGTCAGGTGTTCGTGTAGCTTCCAGCGTAGCGTCCGTGCCCATTAGTCTGACAGGTCGCCTGAGCACCATAAAGAGGTGCGGCCTTGCTGCCGGCACTTCTCCACGGGAGAAGTGGCGGCTCACGTGTCATTCCAGTATGTCACATACTCACGCGGGGCGGGGGGAGGGGAAGCAGGGAACTATAGCAATATTTAAAGATGCTTTGGAAACCAACCGTGAACACATCAGCACCATGACGTCTGCGGTGACTTGCTACCGGCCCTCGGACACATTTAAGAGAAAGAGACTGTCCCTCTTTTTTTCTTAAATGATATACACATAGACAGTTACGTGTGCCCTACTATACTTGTCTTTTGTCTTTCTCTAGTACTCTGTGGAAAGGGTTTGCATCATAGATTTTTCCCAGCCTTATAATATACCGTAAGCTCCCACTTCCCTTCCCCCGCAACCGCTGTACTTTCAAGAGTTCTTTGGTAAAGCCGTCTGTCTGAAACCAAAATGAACCAAACCCAGGTTTAGATATTGGTCGAGAACATCATAGCCAAGACAGCTGTGGCAGGTTTCGATCTTGGGGCTGAGTTTTTCAGAAGGAATGTGCTGGAGGCCTTTCCCAAGAACAGGATTCCTTTTTTTCTTTTCTTTTCTTTTTTTTTAGGCATTCAGTGTGACTAATGCTTGCTAGCTAGCCACGGCAGTGACCACCCTGGGCATTCTGGAAGCTGCCGCTGTGCTCAAGGGGACTATGGCTGAGGGACATTCTTGGGCAGAGGGCACTGCAGAGGGAAAGCCCAGAGTCCCGCAGCACTCCAGGGCCACTCAGCACCTGGGGCCACCAACTCAAGTTCCCAAGGTGCCACTCTGAGCGTGGAGGCCTCCGGGGAGTGCTCCTCGAGAAGGAATCAGCGTTATGGGCGAGTGACCTTAGTGGGAGGGTTAGATTGAATTCAATGTGACTTCTCTTTCCCTTGAAACCCTATTCAGGTCGGGTCAGGTTTCTCTCTGGTGGATCACAGCTGCCTGGATGTTGCTATTTATTTTCATGTTTCTGTCGAGAAATATTTTTCTTTTCACCTTCAGGATTTTTGCCACCAAAAGAAAACATCAGAACTCTGTGTCCCCAATTGTGACTCACCAGTGTTGACAGTTCAGTCCTTAGTGTTGTAGGTCCCGGCCCACCAATACTATATCAAACACTGTTATGCACATAATGCAGCACTGTGATCTAATTTAAATAATACTTTTTTATTATTTATACTACTATATATAATAGACATCAACACTTTTGCTATATAACCTAAGTGATAACCCTCTTTCAGTTACCTGCCAAACTCTGGACTTTGGTTTTTATTGCGGATAACACAGTTACAAAGTTGTAATGGTGTCTCTCTCTCTCTCTCTCTTTTCCTTTGTAACGGGATGTGTGCATCAAAGTATAAACATTGTGTGGTGTTCCTGTCGCTGGAGTTTCATGAGGATTTACACACAGCATTCAGTGTTCTGTACAGATCTGCCCACCTCCGTGAATTCCCCCCATTGACCCCCTTCCCTGGAGAGAGCGCCCGTCATGGTGGCGAGCCCCTTGGGTCTCTTCTCTCTCTCCTGCCGGTTATTCTTGAATGAAGCACAGACTCGTCAGCCCAGTTGCTTTATCGCGAATAATGTGTGTGACCTTGCAGTTCTTCCACAGTTCAGCAAACAAGTGCTAGCTTCACTGACCAAAAATTGAGGAAGGAACACAGTTTTTTAAACGATCTATCTTTGAACAGCCGAAACCGGTGTGTCTATGGTGCTGTGTCTTGCTGAAATCAGACCTGTGCGAATGATTTCTGACTTCCCGTGAGATGCTCACAGGTACCCTTCCTGTTCTGTTAGCGTTGAAATCAAGACTATTTATTTGGAAGATACACGACAGTGTTTTTTTCCACTGTATTTCATTTGCAAAAGTGGAGAACCGCTTTCTCTGCTGTTTGCAAATAATTGATGTTCCATATTGGATTCTCAAAAGACTTCGATATGGTGAACCTATCCAACCTAGAAATTGTATTTCATCCTTCCATGACTGTGGCCTGAGTTCCCCTTCCCCACTTTTTAGATGAAACTTAGCACAGTTTCAGTTATTTACACACACAACATTTCTGTGTGTGTGTTGAGGCCATCAGAACTCACAGCTGATTCAGTAGCCAGTTTCATGTCCCGTTCACACTCACTACTTATACTGCCATGTGATCACATGAGGAAATTTGTATCTGTGTGTGTCTGGGAACCCTCTACCCTTGTACATTTTTTTAATACTCTGATTATGTAACATTTTCTGAGTTTTGTTTTTGTTTTACAGAAAAAAAACAGTGATAAAAGCAATCAGAGAGGTTTACTATCGATGCCTATGGTCGTCTGACCTTTGCTGGCCAATAGACTACATGGCCAAATTAATTTACAAGAGTAATAATTTTTCAAAAGCCAATTGTTTTGTTCTGTATTTTCTGTCTGAAACTGCCAATATCATGAGTAGAAAGGGAGAACCGTAGAGGAGGAAGCCAGCGGTATTCAGTCACGTTTGTGTTCACGTGGCATGAAGGCAGGCGCGGTCAGCCAAGCTGCAGGGACTTGACGACGCTGCTTGGAGCCACCCATCCTTGCGTTCCGCATTCTTCGTATGTAATCATATTGCCAAAGACAAACTATTTCATCATTTATTGTAAATAACACTTTCCCCAGACCTACCATGAAGTTTCTGTGATGTACTGTCTTCCAGTTGCAATAAAAATTACTGAGTTGCATCAATTGAAGAAAGACACCTCGTGGTATTGTGTGCACCAGTCTCCATATGCAGTTGCTGAGCCATGGCGTCATTGCTGTTCTCGCCCACAGACGGGGTGTGTGGGCAGTTCTTTGCATCTGGATTTGGGGTTTCCATTGCACCTGTCATGGCCATCCTTGGGCAAGCTTTCGTTTTGGTGACAACAAAACACCTCTCCTGGAAATATACAAATGTGCATTCATGGTGGGAGGTTGGGTTCACC